ACCAGAGCATCCATTTATTTAGGTACATGGAATGTCCGTACAATGTGGGAGACCAGGAGAGTCTTCCGAATCGCTGCAGAAATGAAGAGATACAACCTAGAGGTGCTTCGGATCAGTGAAACACATTGGATGCAAGTTGGACAACAACGACTAACTTCAGGAGAGCTCCTGTGATACTCCGGCCATGAGGAAGAAAATGCCCCATATACACAAGGAGTTGCATTTATGCTGTCCAAACAAGCACAAAATGCACTTATAGGATGGGAATCTCATGAACCAAGGATCATTAAAATCTTCTTCAAAACAAAGGAAGAGGGCATTTCGATGAACGTCATCCAATGCTATGCGCCTACCAACGACTACAATGAAGACGCTAAAGATCAATTCTACAATAGGCTGCAGTCAATCATCGAGAAGTGCCAAACAAAGGACCTGACCATTCTGATGGGAGATTTAAATGCCAAGTTTGGTACGGACAACACTGGATATGAAGATATCATGGGACGACATGGGCTGGGAAAAGGAACGAAAATGGTGAGAGATTTGCAAATCTATGTGCCTTCAATAAACTGGTCATAGGCGGCACCTTATTCCCACATAAACGCATACACAAAACCACATGGAATTCACCGGATCACAATGCGAAAAACTAAATCGACCACATCTGCATCAACAAAATGTTCAGTAGCACAGTGGATGTGAGAACCAAAAGAGGAGCTGATATAGCATCTGATCATCACTTGCTGGTCGTCAAGATGAAATTAAAATCCAAGAAGCACTGCACAACGAGGGACACAACATCACAAAGGTTCAATTCGGCATTTCTACGGGACAGTGACAAACTCATCAGATTCAAGATAGCCCTCAGCAATAAGTTCCAGGCCTTTCATGATCTACTCAATGGAGAGGGAACTACTATGGACAGAAAGTGGGAAAGGATAAAAAAGACAATCACTTCAACATGTCATGGGGTTCTGGGCCACAAGAAGCACCATCACAAGGAATGGATCACTGTTGATACACTGGATAAGATTCAAAAAAGGAGGAACAAGAAGGCAGCAATCAAAACTAATCGAACAAGAGCAGATAAAGCCAAGGCACAAGGTGAATACACAGAAGAAGACAAGCAAGTGAAGAGGAGCATCAAGACTGACAAACGCTAATATATGGAAGATTTAGCAACGACATTGAAGAACAACTAAAAAGATGGATAGAACACTTCAAAGAACTCTTGAATCGACTAGCCCCACTGAACTCACCCAACATCGAAGCAGCACCTACGAACCTCCCAATCGATGTTGGCTCTTCAACAATTGAATTGATAAGCATGGCCACCAGGCAAATCAAGAGTGGCAAAGCAGCAGGACCATGCAACAGGCACTGAAAGCAGAAGTAGCGGCAACTGCAAGGATACTCCACATTCTCTTCAATAAGTATTTGGGATGAGAAACAAGTACCAATAGACTGGAAAGAAAGAAAACTGATCAAAATACCGAGGAAAGGCAATCTCAGCAACTGAGATAACTACATGGGCATCACTCTTCTCTCAATACCGGGAAGTTTTCAACAAAGTATTATTAAACTCGACGAACGTCTCCGTAGACGCACAACTTCGAGACCAACAGGCAGGATTAAGTAAGGATAGATCGTGTACAGATCAAATCGCAACTCTACGGATCATTGTGGAACAATCAACTAAATGGAACTCATCACTCTACATCAACTTCATTTACTGCGAAAAAGCATTTGACAGTGTGGACAGATCAACACTATGGAAGCTTCTTCGACACTACGGCGTGCCTCAGAAGATAGTCAACATCATACAGAATTCCTATGATGGATTACACTGCAAAATTGTGCATGGAGGACAGTTGACAAAGTCGTTCGAAGTAAAGACCGGTGTCAGGCAAGGTTGCTTACTATCACTTTCTCTTTCTCCTGGTGATCGACTGGATCATGAAGACGTCAACATCTGGAGGGAAACGCGGGATACAATGGACACCTAGGATGCAGTTAGACGATCTAGACTTCGCAGATGGTCTGGCCCTTTTATCCCAAACCCAACAACAAATGCAGGGGAAGACGACCAGTGTAGCGGCAGTAGGTCTCATTATACACAAACGGAAAAGCAGGATTCTCCAATGCAACACAGCATGCACCAATCCAATCACAATTGTAGGAGAAGATTTGGAAGATGTAAAATCTTTACATATCTGGGCAGCATCATTGATGAACACAGTGGATCTGATACAGATGTGAAGACGCGAATCGGCAAATCAAGAGCAGCATATTTACAACTGAGGAACATCTGGAACTCAAAGCAACTGTCAACCAACACCAAAGTCAGGATTTTCAATACAAATGTCAAGACAGTTCTACTATATGGGGCGGAAAGCTGGAGAACTGCGAAAGCCATCATCCAGAAAATACAGGTGTTTATTAACAATTATCTACGCAAAATACTTCAGATCCGTTGACCGGACACTATTAGCAACAACCTACTATGGTAGATGACAAACCAGATCCCAGCGGATGAAGCGCTGGGAGGGGATAGGACACATATTGAGGAAAGCACTAAACCGCGTCACGAGACAGGCCCTCACGCGGAACCATCAAGGCCAAAGAACACATGATGTCAAAAGATGGAGACAGAGATGAGGAAAATTGGATAGAACCAGAGAGGAAAGCTCAGGACATAGTGGGTTGGAGAATGCTGGTTGGCATGGTAGGCTCCATTGGGAGTAGCAAGCGTAAGTAACTTACCAAACTGTGCAACTTTTGTCCCCAAGGTACTCAGTGTTACATTTTAATTAAACTGGTGGCTTCTTTTATCTGTTTGGTTAGAGAGTCATGAATAATACCATAGCTCATTACAGGATTTTGGACACAACTGGTTTTGACATTGTTAAAACACATGGATAACAAGATGGACATTTTTAAATTGTCAAGGCCTTTGCATGTTATATTAGAGATGCTTCTTTCGGAATTACTTACCGAATGTTGACGTTTAATCCGATGAACAAATGGCATAAAACTGTCTTCATCAAATAACCTAAGATTCTAAAGGACTGTTAACCAAGTCGGCTTTTGACAAGCACACAGTCTACTCACCATCGAACCCTCATCGGAGAGCTCCGGATCTAACTTTTCAATATTTTTCTTTAATTGTATGGACCGTCATTGAACCCTTTGGGTCACTCATCTCCAAGTCGCTATTGAGTAAGCAGAAACAATCCGACAATAAAAAAACAGAAAAATGAGGCCAGATGTTAACTATGGTAAAATGCGTAGGGCTCTACTAACCAGATAACAACCACGAGAAAAGATAAATGAAACTCTTACTAGACTATGAGTGGAATCTAGACTTGATAGAGTAACTAGGTCTAACCTAGTAACCTTTGAGTTCTTCACTGTTTCATGAATTGTGAATTACGTCCGTTTTCCTAAATAGCTATTTGCCTTATTTAACATCCCTTATTTATTGCACGAATATCAAATACCGTCACATCTGTGGTAAAATTAATGACAGACTGGTCTTCTGAATTTTTAAGAAAAAAGTGTAGATCAAAAAATGGTTTCAAACCAAATTCATAAAGTAGGAAGAACAAAAAGAACAACAGAATGAAACAATGGTGGTTTTCTAGACCAAAATTATCAATATAGAAACACACAACTAAAAAAATCAATTTTACAAATACGCAACTTCTTTATGCAGAATAAGTACGATTTAACATCAGAAAATTGTTAAATGTACAACACTAATTGAAATTAAAGCGAAACAAAGAACTGTTTTATCAAAGGAACTATTATAGACAAGGTTACTGATAAATTATGGAAAGAAACATTAAATTAGTGTTGGAAAAGAAAGTAGAAATGCCGAAATCGAACGAAAAGCAGTAAAGTTAATTTATCTTGTATATCACATATAACAGTTCGCAGGAAAAACGTCTGTTGGGAGGTGCACTGTATTTAAAAGAGAATATACTAGGATAGGTCATTTTTATGAAAATGAAAAGGATTTCAAAAACATAAGTATATTCAATGCTTGATTCGTATATTTTACACAATGTCATATCCCTTGCGGTGGGACAACTTTAGCTCCTGGAATCTTGGAAATAGTCTAATTTAAAAAAAAAGAATGAAACGAACAGTGTTATTCTACATAGTAAATGTAATAACATAAACCTATAAACAAACAAATCCATTAATAAAGAAACATTAAAATAGAGACAGGTAATTCTCATATCATTTAAGCAAATACAACGATTGAACCTGTTTGTTTCGCCGTTAGTTGTATACATTAAATATGAAGTGTAATCGAACATACGAATAACATAAAACTGGTAAAATGGACTTCCATAACAAGCACTACGTATTAATGCAGGTCCATGTTGCAATTGTATCTCATTGCGAAAACTGTAGTGTAAAAATCACCAAAAAAACAAAACGAACAATCTAGTTTCCCAGACTTAACGACATTTTCTTTACTAACAACGATTAATATATCTATTCGTATTTGACACTGAAATTTCTGTCTAAAGATGAAGAACTCTCTGTTCACCTTATAGATTCGTCAAGGCCAGCTGTCTCTAGGATTCAAAAACCAGGGAAGGTTACTAAACTTAAAGTAGTCTATCTCATTATGACCGTTTCCTTATATACACGAAATAGGACAGAAATATTCGTGACTGCAAAAATGTAGCTTAAGGTACAGAACTACAAAGGCTTCAAATTAGTTAAATCAAATAAAATTTAATAGTTGAGTTCACGAGTGAATTAAAGCTAGACCACCATGGAAAACTTGGAAACATTGGACGGCCATTTCGTCCTAGTGTGGGACGCCTCAACAATCAGCATCCACGACCCCATTCGCGGGATTCGAGCCCAGGACCTTCTAGTTTCATCTGACGATATTATGTACCTAAGGAGTGAATCGCAGAATTAATCTTTAGCATACAAAATCATACGACCCTGTTTCTGATACAGATGATCTGATGCTACCTGTAGTGTCGGTTATTATGTTAAGCCCATATACCGTATTCAAGCTTCCGGACAGCCTATTCTATTCATCCTACTTGAGTCACATTCTGACTTTGTTCGCTTATCAATCTTGACTGTTTTTATGTGAGCGCGTAGGTGTGTGTACATTTCTTATCCTATTACTCATCACGTGTCTGTAACTTACTTTTGTGTAACTATAAATATTGATTAACGCTTGTTTAAATGGGAGTTGGCTTACCCGCCATCTCCACTGCGCGTCGTTTTGCTTCGTTCTATTCCATTCGCTCTATATACAAATATTCTACCGCGTTGGTTGAAATATATAAAACACTATTCTCTACCGTCTGTTCTTCTGCTTTATTGGCCACGGCCTTTGATTGAAGACTATAATAGTGTTATAACGTCCTTTTAGGCCTTCCTACACTACATTGGATTTTTGGCCCGGATTGTTATTAAATAATATTATTGAATCCATTCTTCCTCATCACGCCGTTGGTGCCATCTCGCGCAGAGGAATCTTCGTTAATCAAGTGAACTCATTTCTAGATGTTATCTCAGAGAGCGGTTTACAAGTAACATTCCTTTCATAACAACTGTTATTATCTCTTTCTTTAATATACCATTTGTATCCTAATTGTAATTTGTTAACTTTGGTTTTACTCATAGACAGACACCTAGGATTTGTGTACGTAACTTTGAACTACATACATTGTATGAGGGCTGATAATAATAATACTTATGCCTAGAATGTAATAGATAAAGTGGGATTTAGATACGCTACTTATTGTTTCTGAATAGAATGTTTTGACCATTAGGCCACATATCTTACGGGGTTTTTTAATTAACACACTATTCAAAGTACAAACTGTTTCAAACCAGAATGTCCATATAACTATGATTTATCTAGAAAGCATTTTACAAATTAACATACTGCTGATTTATGAAACCATTAACAGACTGATAGATGATCTCATGAAATAGGTCAAGTAACATTGATTAACTTTTACGCTAAAAATCCCTACTTATTACGTAATTTGTGCTTCAGCAGTCAACAATAACACTGATGAGTTGTACTTCCCATAAAAATATTAGAATACTCATAAGTTTTCGTATACAACCAAACAAAATCATAGTAGCTGACTATTAACGACAAAAATTACTGGAATATTTTTAGATTTGCTTTTCTGGTTGACATTGTGACACTTTTACACAGTGAGAAATAATAACTATGAATTAGTATTATTATCCCTAGAAATCCACACATAAAATATTCTGAGCTCTAAAAGAAACCGATTATCTCTACAGCGAATTTTCTACACAGTTTGGAACAACCCAGTGAATCACTCAAAAAGGACTTTAATAATAGTCTACTCTGGAATTGTAAAACACGAAAACAATACATTGAATACAACATTTGAACAACTTCCTTAAATTGTCTCCTCCAAACTCGATCGTTTTTCAGTTTCTGTTGATAATCCAACTACCTTTGCTTTTTCCCCTTCTCATTTTCCTCTTCTGTTGGTAACAATCCTACTTTGGATCGCCGATACATACTACATATGCAATGAACGAAAACTGAGTTGGAGAAAACCAATATATTGTTTAGTGCAGAACTACCCAGTGCCTTCGTAAAATATGGAAATCAAACATTGAATATATTATTTGCAAATCCTCCATCAGTTGCCTTCTACACGCTTCATGACTTTTTTCAATTCTGTTGTTATTCCAATTGCTCTGTTTCTTCAATTCAATCTTCTGCTGGCATGCATTCCACACCCGATTTTTGCTACATATTATTTATCTCTGTCAGAAGAAGCAGCATACACCACACTTATACCTGTCCCTATAAGTAGCTTACACCACAATATGATTGAATACGATAGGAAGAGTAAATTTTGTGTTCTGAAAAGCTGCATATCAGATCAAGTAAGCTTTGCAATGTTTTCACGCATAATATATTTCCAACTGATACAAATCAACAATGGAATTAAAAAGAGATTACCAGAAAGTTCCCTATAAAAAGCTAATCAACAAGAAAAATACTGTGCACTTAATATAAGCATGTTCATACAGATACAGAAACTAAGATGAATTTCTTATTAGTATGTTGACCGAACCAACTTTAATCACATATATATTGTTATAATAATCAGTGCTCTGGACCAAACTATCATCGTTGTTTGAGCAACAGCACATGACTTACCTAGACGCGCAACTCTAATCGCGGAATGTAAGTCATATGGACACTTATTGTGATTCTAACTATTGCTGATAAGATTCCGAAGATAGCATTAAGAAAGTTTTGGCTCTGAGTTGGAATATTCAAACTTTGTTAATATAAATCAGCTCAACTAAACGAAGTGATGATATACAGTGTTTTAAAAAAGGTGTTTAATTAATAAAATACTAGTGATGAATACCAAAACTCAACAATATCTTTCGGTAAACACAGCGTAGAGTCAACAATAATATTACACTTAAAATCGAACACAAACTGGAATGTAAAAAGTAGCGACAAAACAAAAACAAAGTCTAACCTGACTGAGATCAACATTTGTTAGAGCTCGAATAGCATGTGGAACAGTCCCAACTAATGTAGTAAAATCTTTGCCCAGATTAGTGAGACTTTGTAAAGTAGCCGGTTCGCCATTAGAACCATTCATAATAACAATTTCTTTAGTTTTGCTCAGTGGAGCAGCAACTTCAGCAGCTATTTGCGGTAATGTATCCAATATGAGATTTAGAATAGCAGCATCACCGTATTTACTATAAGCTTCAGCCCTCAAACGCATTCTCTCAGCTTCTGCCCGTCCAACAGCTTCCATAGCTTCAGCTTTAGCAATACCTTTAAGACGAATACCATCGGCCTCAGCTTGAGCTAAAAGAATTTTTTGTGATCTGAAATAACATTTAATAGAAGAATAAACAGTCATCACTTTTTGTAGGTACCATTACCAAGGTTTGACTTGATAATTTCAAATAAATTGAGCATTGGGTAGAATGTTATAAATAAAAATTATATATTTGTAATATCTCAATGAGTGTAAGCCACTTCTTCAGAGAAACGTCAGAAAATCTAATTTTTTTACTCACTGTGACATTACAAATACATTATCACACATCTGTCAGTAAAGTATTTTTACTAGTATATTTTTGGCAAGAACGATAGCAAAAAATATCATCACAATTAGTATACACCATTTAAACTATTAAAAGGTACAGGTAAATAACATTTTTACTTTACTATACTTTAGAAAGTACAACAACGAGAAGTACTCATCAAATTAAAAGGAATTACATATTAAAAGTACTGATTGGAATTAGGAAAGAAATACAATATTGATATTTTGCTTAAACATAAATTATCCATAAACTACAGTATTCTCGATCTTAATTGATCGATCATTTGTTTTTATCATAAAAAATAAGGAGATGAGATTATTTTATCAAGATAATGAAAGTGAGAAAATGCTAGAAAACAATATGAATAGAAGATGGTTAACATGAAAATCTACATTTATAAAACTGGCAGAACTGCTATGACATCCAATAATTTTATTGAAGAATCTCTTTGCAGTCCGAAAAAAAGTAGACTGTATCGAAACATGGTACAATAAACCTGTAATTAAAATCCCATGAAAGATATTTTATTCACAGAACACTTCTCATACTACTCTACTGTAATCGAACTAGATTTTTATCTTCTATCCTATAGTCGGATACGGTGATCGTTTACTGATTGTTAATGAATTAATTATTGACAGTGAAGAATTTTACAATTGTTTTTTTAATGTACGATTTTGCAGATAATCTATGATTTAACGGGAGTTGGAAGACTAAATAAATAAAAAATCTAGAAAAATAAACGTGCTGTTTATTTCTAAATTGCGATCAACTACATTATGAAAAGGAGTAAATATTAGATGATAGCATTGAACGTTTACTGAACAACAAATTGTTGACAATTCAGACTAAACACACTTGTCAAGGAAATCTGAAGAATTCTGAGATTTACTTCAAGAATTAAGAAACAGTACATACTTTCTTGTCTACAGTGGCTCATTGAATAAATACCTAATCCAGTGCAATAAAATGCGAATACGCTCACAAAACGTCAAAAAGTCTGGATACATTTGTCTTATTGACTCAAATAGCAATGTAAACTCGAAATAATTAATACAATATGTTTATAAGAATAGTAATACAATAATTAATAAGCACTGAAGTTAAGGCTCCTGAAGAATTGTGATCAGAATGGAGGTTTGTGGAGATTGTAGTAATTGTAATAGCTGAATTTATGAGTCAATGTAAGCTAGACCACCATTAGAAACCTGAAAGCACTGGATGGTTTCCAATGGTGATCTAGCTTACATTGATTCTTGAAAAATTGACAAAAATAGGAATAACAAGCATGAAATGTTTGTTCCCACATTCCTATTTTTCACTTCTTACTTGTTTACTAATTTTGAAATCATTATTTTCACTCTTTCGTTATTCCTATAGTTCACGTTTGTCGAGTTGACGTAAAGTATACCATCTTAGATTTAAGTTGTGTCCTATCAGTTACTCAATTTCTAAATCTCTCACATCCTATATATATCGCATTTCTTTTAAGTTCATTATAATTTAAGTTTATCAATGCTGTAATATACACAAATGAAAGTTCAAGATGGATTTAGTTACCGTGACTAACAAATTGTACAGTCGATATTAACGTAAGTAGACCGCCCATTTAAGACAGAAATCACTTTCGAAATAGTCTGAAATTCAGTGGAAAGTTGTTACTGAGTTATTTTAACGTATACTTACGATCTCTGAATTACCATTATTTATTGCATTTTGTGACGTGTTATTCAGTACCATTTTGATTATGGGATATTAAGTAAATAAGATTTCAGTAAACTATTGCGATTATCAACTATTTCTGCAGTCTTACATCACTGGATAGCGTCAGTTAGAGAAGCACTGAAGACCAAAAAGTGCTGGACAGCTGTTTAATCATGTCATGAATTTACCCAGTGGATCGAATTCAAGACTATCAGGCCTAAAATTGAGAGTTTAGTCTTCACACCACTGAGTTGACATGCTACCTTATAAACATCTCAAGAAGACGTTTTCCCCCATACATACACAACAAAGAAGCATATTTACAGAGAAGTAAAGAAGAATATTATCCAAGATGATTAGAATGTATATGAAGTAACATGTTTAAGCTTGTAGGTGCATACACCAACTTCTTTTAACTACTTAGTTGAATTAACTTTAAAGTCCATAGCGAAATAAGAACGGCTATGATAAATAAAAAGCTGAACAGTCAAAATCGTTAGACAACAACTCTAATTTCAATTTAGCATTATTGAAAAATGAAGATTTAAAAATCAATATTGTAAGTACTTTCATTAGTTTAATGGATATTTTAAAACACAACAATTAACTGCATATAAGTTGATAGGACTGATATATTAGTGTGAAACAAATAATAAATGTCATCCAATTCATTAAAACACAGCATACCTATAACCCTCAGCTATTTGTTGTAGTCTATAAGCTTCTGCTTCAGCTGGACGTCGTACAGTGGCATCCATATTTTTTTCAGTACATAATACGCCTTTTTCTTCAATTTCAATTTGTTTACGACGTTCAACAATATTAATGTTCACTTCTTCTTTTCGAATTTTTTGTCTCTCTTTAGCAGCCTAAAGTTTAGCAACAACCCAATAAATGATTTTGATCAGTTATAAAAGTTCAAAACAACTAAAATAAACGAGAAACCAACTACCTAACAATATAAAAAGTAATTTGGTAGTACTTTCAGCAGTTCCGTAGATTACATGAATTAAACCAAAGTTGCGTGAATACTTGTTGATATTAGAATTTATAAGTTGAAGAACAATTCACTCATTAGCTAGAATAAAATATCGATAATAGTTATATTATTCATGAACTATTCTTACAAATTTTATATATAATAATGTTTTGTCATTTGCATTTAATACATTATCTGTTTACTAACTATTTGTATAATCATACCAACCAACTACATTATTCTGTATTTACTATCAATTCAAAGCGGATTATGATTCTTGTGTATAATGATGATAGCAAAAATTATTTATTCATTTTTAAAAAATGGAATTCTTTAAACAATCGTTTACATTAGTTAGTTGACCTTAATAATAAATTAAACATTTATAGATCGATATCTTGATTAAGTCATGCACAAACCGATAATAACAATCATCTTGAAGGTACCATCAATAATTACCACAACTGACCTAGTTTTAAATATCATTCAAAGTAATTTTAAGATTTGGAGTTGTTCTTTTTTTTGGTTTACGATTCGTTTAAAATATATCCAGCATGTTACATATATCTATCAGTCACTTAGTGATCTTGTTCATCATCTTTCCTTTCTTTTTTTTATTAGTAATGCGTAACGAAATAATAGATACTCAACAAATGTTTGTTGACTTATTTGATTTACAAAATCCAAAGTATTGACTTTTGAACTATCAGGTATATAGATCCAAAACTATATGTTTAAATGTTTACAGTCAAGACCCTAATGTCAAAAGCCTAAAATGGACATAAACAACAACACATTTCGTTTATCACGATCAACTATTCTTGCACTTACAAATACAGAACAGTTCTGCATAATATGTCCTTTTTTAACGTGTCAGTAACTAATATTAAAATACAATTCTCAATATTGAGGTATGTTGATGATAATCAACCAATATAATTGACCATTACAAGGTTCATAATTTCAAGACGATAGGAACCAACTAACTTTCTTTGTTAGCTCTTTTATAGCTATATCTACGCTAGCTGATAGCAAAAAAGAAAATACTTTCAATTACTCGTATTGTGGATATTAAACGGTAAAACTGTGTGGCGCATATATATCTGGTGCCCCCTTGTACCAATATTTATATGTTCAAATAAATAAATAAATAAATAAAACATGGTAAAACTTGTGAGTTTAGTTTTCATATATTCAAGGTTAACAAACTAGGAAATTGTTTATACAAATCTACTTCAAAATAAAGTTTATTTTATAAAATAAACTTCAAATTAAAGTAGTTTACTAGTTTGGTCAAAACCACTGCACTAAAATGTTAAACAGATACATAATGAATAATTACTTCATTTTAATATGGGAAGAGATTTCTCGTACACTCTTTTTGGATTTGCGTACAACTAACGAACTTGAAGGCGTTCACGTATGGTATCTTTAGGTCAAATGTCCGTCTGCGCACTAGCATGGGTAAAATTGAAACATGTAGAACTCGAAACGATTTCATTATAAGCATGACGAAAACTGTTGTGTAAGGGAGTAAAACACTTGATAAAATATTCTGGTTGAGGTACATATACTATAGACGGGCAAATTAAGACATGATATTAATTTACGAAGTTATCGCCAATTTCGGCTCCATCTGATAATTATAATCTACAGTTGGAGACCATAAGATCTATTGGTCAAAGGTTGCAGTGGTGTAGATGCATTCGTTCTTTGTTTTTCTTTAAACACTCAGCTTAGTGTAATTGGATGTTCTGATCTCGTTCATACTTTTGGAAGTAGCATATGTTCAGTTCTCCACTGAAATCGACTTTCCCAAACGCATCTCCTTTCTTTCTGGTTTATTAACTCTTTTTCTTAGTGTAATGTCATATGTAACAAATTTGAATCGAAACAGATGGATATCGAGTCCCACGCAGCCTATGTGGCTGCCTGAATCAGTCACAACAATGGCCTTTGATGAAATAGTGATAAGACAACCTGACTGACATATAATGTTGACTTAGATCATTCAGCGAATCAACAGCTAAAATTTATCAGTTCTAACCAATTATTATAATAAATAACTGCGAATTAACAAAGTGTGTTACAAAAAATATATACCGCTTACGTACAACAAAACACCTACACTTATAAACCAGCATTAAATGTAGTTCGCACACAAATCTGTCTAAAAATTGCTGAGAGATAAAGCTTACTCATAGAGTATAGTGTCCAAAGATATGCTCTTTGTATTTATTTCAATTACCTGTAATTTATAGGCCAATTCAGATTCTGCACGAGCTGTATTAACCTCTTGATCAAAACTAGCCTTCCTCAATTGAAATTCACGACTTGAATTAGCAATATGCGTATCGGCTGAATAACGAACGTCCAAACGACAACGATCACATTCTGCTTCCTAAACAAAAAAGATCGATGATACAACACTCACACTTGGCAGATTGTAACATAAGGAGATTACATCAACTTTCCAGTTCACATTTAAAGTTAAGCTAACTTTGAAAAAGATTTCAAACTTCGGCAAAGGGAAGAACATATTAAGAGTAGAAATCGTGAATAGAAACCATTTTAGTCAATACTAGATATTTTAACGCCTTGCAAGTAACGTTATTATGTAGGTGATAGAGTTTTTACTTTTTTGAGATCAATTAATTATAATGACAATAATCAGTTATCCCAGGAAACATACTGGGAAAGAGATAGCCTAAGATTGTAAGAAACACATGCTAATTTAACAGTAACTTTTGAGTGCAAAAACATTTAAACAAACTGCTGGCAAACAATTAAAGACAGATGAAAATATATTTTAAACGCAGTCAGTCAGTTACAGCGTAGGACCTAGCACATATATGCATTGGTCAAAGTTGCCACACCACATTAGCACAACAAGATAAACACTAAATTCATAGAAGTAGTCACTTCAGTGGTAATGTATAAAAGAAAGATTATGTATAAGGATATAATACAAGAACAAGGAATTAGAAAGGTATAAAGAAATTTTAGTCTTACGGTTTTAGGGAGGACAAAGAGTGTATACACCTATGCCATTTTGATCGATTCTGAGCCATGTCACACAGAGTATCCAACCATTGGTTACGATAGTCACGCGGATCCCAACCAAGTAGTCTGCATCTACCAACATGGCTCAAACCAGAAGTTAGTGACTTCAAGCACTGATGCCACATTTTGGTTTGGCCGCCTCTAACTTTCTTCCAACCGTCTCCAACACTAGTCAGCATTGCGCGTCATAGTAAACGGTTTTATTTTAAAGACAGAGGCCATGATGGAAACAGTAATGTATTTTACACTCATAGTTAAATAAGGTGCCCAAGATAGAACAGAGGGGTGTACAGAACTGCTGATGAAATAAGATTCAATGAATCAATAAACACTTTTTATGGCATAAACTTCTGAACAAATAAAATTTTACGAAGAAGATATGCCACTGTAGGTAGTAATGTAATATTAATCGGTGACAGACACTCTTCAGTCTCAAATGTTATGTTCACAAATACTCAGTAACACAATAAAGAAATTGTAAATTGGATAGATACGTTTTAATATAGAAGACAACGTGCAAGAATTTATTGTTAAATTAAACTGCATGAAACTACACTTTTAAAGTTTTACTGAGAACTATTTAAAACACGTAACGTAATATTTTATTGCTCAGTAGCAGAAGACAGTAAACAATAACATTTAAATTTGAAGCTTCCAACTGCTGAACTACAGTTTGAAGCAAATATTAAGCACCTAATGATACATCTATTCACTATCAGTGTCAGTCAGCAACAACGTAGGACTTCGTACGTACGTACATCATTTCAAGTTGCCATTACACTTTTAAGCATAAAGTCAGAGAAAGCCTTTCCTAATCCCGGTAAAGGAAAAATGTCTTACGTCAACATTTTCGAGAGAACTAGAGATTCGAATTCATTAAGACATAGTAGAATCTACACATTCGCGTTGAACAATTTTATCTACCTTCTACTCCACAGAATGAATCTAGCTAAAACTCAATAGCTTGTTTCCATATAAACTCTCTGAATTTCAGAAAACCAAGATTTCCTAAAGTTATCAAATTCCTCTTATTATGGGCTTTATTTTGACCTATGAACTATTATTATACGATTTACTATTTTTGAATTATGCCCTGTCTATTTATTACTACCTCCCATATTCACAGCCACATTTGGCCAAATCTTGTACAAATGTTGTTTCCTATTTCATGGTACGGTGTGGTCTGGTAAGTATATAAACCCAGTATGCTTGATATAAATGAATCATATTGCAGAGGCTGAGATTGGTCTTCTGGACTTAACTGACTGGGCTAGGCGGAAAGCAGGATCAATAAGGTCAGTCAGTCAGTCAGCTACAACGTAGGACCAGGCACATGTGTGCATCGGTCCAGGTTGCCATACCGCATCAGCACAACAAGATGAACACCGGATTCATAACAGTGGTTAGGTAAAAGGTGGTAATATATAAGAGAAAGATTGCATATAGAGATATAGTACAAGAAGAAAGAATTGGTTCGAAGAAAGAAAGATATGAAGCGATTTTAATCTCTTAGTTTAAGGGAAGACAGGGAGTGTATACACCGACGCCATTGTGATCGATTCTGAGCCACGTCACCAAGAGTCTCCAACCATTGGTTACGATAGTCACGCGGACCCCAACCAAGTAGTCTGCATCTACCAATATGGCTCAGACTAGAAGTTGGTGACTTCAAGCACTGATGCCACGTTTTGGTTTGGTCATCCCTAACTTTCTTCAAACCATTTCCAATACCGGATAGCATTGCACGTCGTGGTAATCGGTGTTCAGGCATACGTAACACGTGGCCCAACCATCTCAGTCGATGAAGATTCATAACCTCATCAACTGATTTACCATCATTTCCTAATACCCTGCGTCTAACCTCACTATTACTTACTCGGTGATCCCAACAGACGCCAGCAATATTTCTAAGGCATCTGTGGTCAAATACTAATAGCTTACGAGTGTCTTCTACTCTTAATGGCCATGTTTCGCTGCCGTAAATTAAAACAGAACGGACTGCCGCGCAGTATACTCGTTCTTTTATTAATAGACGGATATCTCGCCTTCGCCACAGGTGACGTAAGTTGGCAAATGCCAAACGAGCTTTTCGAATCCGTGCTGAGATTTCGTCCGATACGAACCCATTAGGGCTGATTAAACTTCCAAGATAAGTGAAATTGTCAACGCGTTCGACTACTTCACTCCCTATCCTTAGTTCAGGTGTTAACGCAGACCAGTCCTGAAGCAACAACTTGCATTTCGAGGGAGAGAAGCGCATTCCAAGCATCCTGGCATTGTTGCTCATTGCTACCAGAAGATTCTGCATTTTGTCAGCGTCTTCACCAAACAGGATTATGTCATCTGCGTATTCTAAGTCGATAAGTGGACCTCCTGGATGGAGATCAATACCCGGGAACTCAGTCGACGAGAAAGTTATTTCCATCAGTAGATGATGAAGTTAAACAAAAATGGAGAAAGTGGACATCCTTGACGGACACCACTTGAGGTTGCAAAAGTAGATGACAGTTCGCCATGAGATCTCACTCAACTAGTAGTGTTCGAGTAAAGAGCCTTTACAAGATCTATGTACTTCTGGGGTATGCCTTTCAATGACAGACACTGCCACAGAATCTCGCGGTCTACCGAGTCAAATGATGCTTTTAAGTCAAGAAAGACCACCATCGTCGGACGCCGATAAGTATGCCTGTGTTCTAGAACCTGACGAATGGTGAATATGTGGTCGATGCAGCCACCACCAGGTCTGAACCCAACTTGGTTTTCCCGTGTTTGCAGTTCACGAGTCTTAGTTAGGTGTCCGATAATTATCGAGGCTGGTATTTTAGATACCATATTAGTTAAACTAATCCCTCTGTGGTTGTCACAGGATGATTTTGACTCTTTCTTATATATTGGGACGATAAGTGATTGTGACCAGTCAGATGGAATAACGTCTAACTCCCAGATCTTAGCTAAAATATTAGTCAACCTAACCGCTGAAATTGGACCACCATCCTTAAAGACTTCTGGAGCCAGTCCATCTGGACCAGCTGCCCTTCCTCGTTTCAGATTATCTATAGCCTTTTGAACTTCAGCAAGAGTTGGGGGACCTACTTTAATGTTCCATTCACACTGTCTGGGAATGGAGGGTAGATGTAGAGTAGCTGAAGGCCAGCTGAACTGTTCTCTGAAATGTTCCGTCCATCGTTCTAAACGCCTGGACTGGGAGCAGATGAGTGTATCGTCTTTTTCCGATATAATCTCACTTACACTTGACTTATTAATTCCAGTTTCTTTTATTAGTCTGTAAAGCTGTCTTGTGTTCCCTATAGTCGCTGCCTTTTCCATCTCTTTTGCTTTCGTTGCCCACCACTGCTCACGGTCGTTTCTTAGACTTTTTCTTAACCTAGATCTGATTTGTTGTCGCTCTTCATCATGTTCGGAACCTGATGGACTCTAGACTGCTTGTGCAGTTTTATGCGTCACTAGTTCGATCGATGATTCACCGCTCTCTAATTGGCGGTTTCGTTACGTTATACATTAACGGGGCACACACGCCACAAGTTATAACATATTTGCATCCATAAAACTTTCTAAGTATATGGTTAATCTGAAATGACCAATAAATAATCAAGAACTTTCGATTGAAAGATCTAATAACACTGCATTGAAAGAATACCTTGATTCCAGCATCACGTTCTGCTTCAGCAACTCCGATGTCAGCATCTCTTTTGACGTTCGCTGTTTGTGCACGTCCCAGAGAATTTAAGTATTCCACACGATCATAAACATCTTTTATGGTAAAACTTAATATCTCAATTCCCATTCGTCCTACATCTGGTGCTGCCACCTCTCGAACAAGAGCAGCAAACTGATCGCGATCCTAAAACAAAGGGGATACCCGTTAATTTCAATTACTGATAATATATATATATATATATATATATATATATATATATATATATATAAATTTTAGAAGCTTCGAGGAATACGTTAAAAAGGTCTTCATAATGCACTTATAGTTTGGATTCCATTGTGCCTGCAAACTAGAAAAGCTAGTATCTAATGTCACATTCTATGTGATGTCCAAGTCCACAATAGGGAATCAGGAGAATTACACAGCATGCTAAATTGAAGTTTGCCTTTTGTCTTAATTTAATCCAAATCCAAATCAAACATAAATGTTCAACAAATAGACCGAGCCCCCATAATTAACTCCCTTATTTTCTGTTATTTAATTGAGTTAGAGCTACTGTACAAAATGGGGAGATCATTAGTTTCTACTTCGATTTTTGAATACTGGTAAGAATACTAAAAGTGATATATCGAGGTTATTTAAATAGGACAGTTTCTAAGATTTTAGAACTAACGACGAATGAATACTTATGAGCAAACAGGTTGAGATTGATATGGAACACGTAAACATTTACAAATGCAATAAACCGGTTTGTCCTGAAAATGTTTTTAGTAAAAGAGAAGAAATTTTTCATTGAAATGACGGCAACATATAGAATTTGGATTCGGCTAACGTATGACAAAATTCTGGTACATATAGTCTGATATTTTTTAACAGACACTATTATCAGCTTCAACGAAAAATCAAATGTCAACTGAGGAACATGAATTGTAGTTGACAGGAAATGTGAGATCTTACATGCGATTTGTTGATTGAATCAAATCCAACAAGGGATAGCACTGCACATACCATATAAATTTCAATATCGAAAATTCACAAATTATTAGCAAAAATGCTTCGAAGATATTTTTCGACCAGGATAATTTACAAAACGCCAAATCTATAGAGCCTAACTGCGATTTTTTAAAACACTGCTAAATATAAAGTATCACACACGAACAACGCCATGCTCGTATAACCTTTCATAAAGATTAAAGTTGATGAAAAATAAAAAGACTAACACGATAAATGGCTTCCACTGTCAAAGTGCCGAGTATAGCTCTTAAATGTCCTTCCATCGTTTGAAGTATAGTGTTTTGAATATCTCGTTGTTTTTTCCCTAAAAATTGTTGACATGCTGCCTCAAGCAGTTTGTCATCCCGCATCACCTTGACTTGTGCCACGCCTATCAATGAAAAATATTTTTTTAAAGACCAATGCAAATCAACAAGTTACCTGTCACAGTTAAAGGAACACCTTCTGATGTTTCCACATTCTCGCAGACTGGATTTAGAGTCATAACTCCTAGAGAAATTCTGGAGGTCTGATAATAACTCAAGAGATTTACTTTTGAACCTCAGTGACAAGCCACCAAGCCCAACCCCACCCACCAATTATTGTACGCACTTTCGCAGCTCCACAGCATCCACCTTTTAAAGTGAGTCATAAATACCAAAAAATGACAATTATTTTGACTCAATAAAATTTTTACATTCCACTAAACGCAGCAACATCTTATAACGGCCTTATCTGAAAATACTATCATGTACAAGCAAAAACTGTCACCATATATATTGACTTTAAAATGATACTACTTAGCATGAACTGCCACTATCAGATTAGCTGGTTTTTCCTTCGGCAAATATTATACTCTACGTTATCAAACTGAATTATAGCGATCTGACAGTCAGAGACAGATAACAAATTTTAAATAAAAAAACTTATAGATACATGATAACTACTTTGTACAACCTGAATTAACTGTAATACTTACATACAGACCAAAGTAATCCACCGGGACAAACAAAACTACGAATACATGTATCGGAAAAAGATTGATATGGTAGCTCTGATTTGCGGATTATTAAACTTAACGCATCTTATCAGAAGAGCTAAGGCTTATAATGTGCGTATCTCTATTGAAAACGATCTATTTATGAAAGGTAATTGGTACACTAGTGTAAAACAGGATCATATTAACAAATCAGGCACACTGTCTCAGGTTAAGTGTCATGCTGACGTTACAACTAGTGACGTATATGATAAAATAATCAGCTAAAAGATAGTTAGTGATTTAAGCAAAAAAACTAATCACTATCCATATTTTGTGCCGGATGCACATCGAACCTAGATGGAACTCAAAAAGCCAAAAACTCTACAGCTGGTCTTAACCTGGATTTATGTTGACTTAAATATACCACATAAGAGCAATTTAAGTACATGAACACTTTCTAGTGTTGATTGACATTTTAGAAAAGCCGTCAACGAAACTCTATTCGGCTAAAACACGATTGTTCCAACAAGCATGATCAAAAGATTTACATTAACATGCTTAAGAATGAATAAAACATTTATGCGAGAAGTGATTTAACCTCAGAAGTATGCTAATCAAGACCCCGACTTCTATATTTTAGGATTTTTCCCCATAGTCATACAAAAACAATTATTTTTCCCCAAATTCTGTTTGAATATTAGAGGAAAACCCGAAATTTCTCAAAATATTTTGAGGGTCTCCCCGAAATAAGCTGAAATTCCAGTGAAAATCCCAGACCAGGGGAAATTTAGGGGGTTTGTCGCATTACTGGCTGAATGTCAAAATCATCACCACTTATGTAAAAGTATCCTCATATATAACTATCAACACCAAATATCTTGTGTAATACTAATTATGACACGAGCAGTTACCGGAAATGACGAGGGCTTCACTGGGCCCCACTGTATGTATATTCCCCATTAGTTCAAGTCAAAACAGCGCAAATGCCGAGTAAAATTATGCTTGGTTTACAAAAACAAATAATAACGAAACATGTACTTTCAATCATACTCCCATCTATTTTAATAGCAAAACTTACACATAAATTACTGTTAAAGAAAGCACTAATAGGCTGAGTGCACACTTCTAGGACTTGTTCCTATCAACAGGCCACGGATCGTTGAAGTGCGAATATCCAAAAATCCGTAGTATATGTAAAACGACCATAGCCAGAAGCTGCACCGTTTACAATTGATAAGGGACACGCGATAGCCGTAATTGCTCAAAACGATTGTTTTCGTACATTAGGCTAAAACTTTAGCGTAGTAATGAAATTCCTACTTGATCGTATCACAGAAACTCAGATATACTGGCTTATTCGAACACAACTAGATCTGGTATTTTATCAAACTGTTTGAACGAAGTCTACTCTACAGTTATGGTCAATAACACTTCTTGTAGCCAGTCCACTGAGATACCAGCTATTGTGCCTGCACATCTGACTAGGGATGCTGTTTTCTAATTGTCCACTGACCACAGACCTAGTAAGACACCGGGTCCTTATGGACTAGATACACAACTTCTGTCATCTTTCGCATACACTATTTCAGGGATACTCACGATGCCGTTCAACATGTCTGTTTCGCAAATTCAACTCTCTACGGATTGAAAGGATACTATCGTCAGCCTTATATTTAAATGTGGAAAGAGACAGATGATGTCTGACTACTGTCCTGTCACTCTAATCAGCATAGTAATCAATTCATTTTAGAATACAACTGTGGCAGTACTGGTTGCCTTCAAAATAAACATTTATGCCTAACTAACTTACTAGTTGCGAGAGAAAATTGGACATCCTGATTAAAAGTGATGTGCTCCAATGCACCATTTTCAGTCCCTTGTCTTTCCTACTCTACATCAGCGAATTACCGAGACTACATAAGTTTTCGATATTGTTGTGTTGAAGACAATGCCAAGATCTGGAAGAATTACGAGTTAGGGTTGGTCAACTTCATATTCAATCTGACCTAGACGAATTAGTTCTAGAAAATGTGTACTGATGTACAGTGCACGCGGCGATGTTTATCAGTATGTTGTCGACAGTATATCGCTCATCTCAAGCCAGTTTGTTCTTTAACATAGCAGATTGTTGCTGATAATATCCGGCCAACGGAAATCCACTATCTTGCGTAAATTATTGTTCATAAACACTTGTACATTTTTTGATACTTGTCGTCGTTCTTCAAATTTCACTTCCGTATAATAGAACCTTCTTGATGTTGGAGATATTGAAGACTATGAATTGGATGTTGGCTCATAGTCGTTTATAGTTCTCAATGTTCTTCAACTGTAGGAATGCTGTCCTTGCTTTTCCAATCCTTGCACTCATGTCTTCGTCAGATCCTCCTTCATTACCAATGATTCTGACCAGCCATGGAAATCTTTCCACCCATCCAATAGCTTCTCCATCAATTGTGAATAAGCTCGTACTCTCTGTGTTGTATTTCAGTATCTTTTTTTCCTTGTGAATGCTGAGGACAACTGTTGCAGTGGTTGATGCTAATCTGGCTGTTTTCACATGCATTCGCTGCTGTTAACGTGATAGAGCAGCTAAGTCTTCTAGAAAGTACAAATCGTATATTTGCATCCAGGTAGTTCATTATGCTCCGTGTTTCCTCTCAGATATCGGGTTCTTCATAATCCAGTCAACCAACGGAAGTAAGAGAAAAGGTGAGATTAGCCAGCCTTGTCTTACACCGTTCTTTACTCGGAGTGCATCCGACTGCTAACCTTCAGGCACCACTTTTCAATGTAGTTGCTTTTCTCTCAAAAAGATTCGCTCTAGCAGAGACCAGGATTTCTACCTTCGGACGTGATCGCTTTGCAATCTACCCAACCATTGTGCATTTTCGACACATGTCAGAAGGCAGAGAATATACGAACCACTGAACAATGCACTAAAAGTGAGAGCCGATAAATGCTCACCCGGAGATGTCCAACAACTTGACTATACGTCGCAGTTAACACGTTCTATCTGACATGTCAAAGGTCAGCAAAATCGGAATGCAGATGAATGATATCGACTAAAAATGAACGTCATACTACAGGCCACAGGAAATTTCGAGACGTTGATAGACAAACAAGATGAGGCTGAAGGACTACGAGGCGTGCCTACAACAAACATCTCTAGTCTCAAACTAAAGCAGTTACCATTGCCTAATGACGGCATCCTGAATTACTGTTGTGGTAGTGTCGAGTAGCAGTTGACTATGATCATCAGTACAGATCGATCGTGTGCCAACTATCAGGTAAAATCCCTCTGTAGGATGAACAATAGGAGGACAGTTGTGGATTGTAGTTAGGATATATTTGTTGGTGATCTCGTGGTACCGAAATAATACCGAGATTGTGCCGAATTTTATAGGCGAGACTACCGTGCCTACGCACGTTCAAGGTTATAAACAGTGGGAATAGTCTGTTTTTGGTACAATTAAACAAAAGGGTGCAGTAAAATAATCACTGGTATAGCTGGTTATAATAAATGTTTTTATTACACCAGTCGCTTTCTCTTCATAAAAGTATATCACTACACTGTGACACGATCAAGATAATGCTGCGACCTTGCACCCCCAAAAGTACCCAAAACTAATACGTGATAACTTTCATTCTGGTGCAAAAGCTTCTACTATACTAATGGACACTAGCTATGTACTGCCGAATTTACAAAAGGATGTACACAAATGGTTTAGAGAGTGTTCGGCGTGTCAACAGTCAAAAGTTTGTAGAACTACGGTCTACTATGATATTAGTACTGCTCTAATGATAAACCTAAACCTAAAATTGTAGAATTGTCATGATATAACTGCCTAATCTATAAGATCTTACGTGGAAGTTACACCATCGACTACACCAACTCACTGTATCGTATCAACTACCATTACATGATGTAGAACAAGGTTAGGCTAGAGAAGGAACAATATATTTAGTATGAATAGAAGATATAAGGTAACATTCAGAGGGACCACGCCTGCATGGCTGAGCCATGCCATTCGATCAACTCCGATTCCTTCAATTCATTGTTCCCGCCTTTTCCATCTTTAGGTGTTTCTCCGCGTTAAATATCGAATATCTATATTCTGAGTAGTCTTTTGTTGAGCTTTGAAGATTGTGTGGTTATGGTCCAGTGCCACTACAAGTTAATCAACACACACATTCACCTACCAGCGTCTTCTTACATTGAAATGTACGTTTCGCCCACGTGTATATCAACTTTGTCGGCCCTTTACAGCGTTCGATTGGTTTTAATTATCTGTTTAAATGCATAGAATGATTCACGAGATTTGCTGTGGCCACATCGATAACGGACATCACAGCTGAAAGTGGCCAAGGTTTCCATGCAGAACTGGATGACATACCATCAGTCCTTTATCAAGTTTCGGGACTGGACATACAGACGCTATTACTCAATAAATAAACGACTTTAGAGACAGGTACATATCTTGAAACCTGGAAGGCAACGTATGTTCTTCTCAAACACATATCAGAACCAAGAAACCTGGTCGAAAACTAAAGACCTATAAATATCGCTCCAGTTATTTCACCTACTTAAAAATGATCTAATAGACCCGTCACAAAACGGCTTCATTAGTGCAAGGTCCTGCAACACACGTCTGATAAACCTTTTTAACGAGGTTGCTCGCATACGTGACCAAAAGAAACTGGTGGTTATACTATATTTGGATATTAAGAAAGCATTGATTACGTACGTCATATTCATCTTATCAACACAATCAGTCATTTGGAGTCGCAAACACTCTGTTGCAATGGATCAAGTCTTTTCTCACAAACAGATACCAAATAACCAAGATTAATTTTACATCTTAACCCCGACCAATAACCAGTGTTGTTGTGCAGGATCCACTGATCTTTACAATCTATACCAACAATATATGCAAGTGCTTTAGCACAGGTAAGACCCGCCTCTACGTTGATAACTTAAAAGTTATCTATAAAAGTGTCATTTGCGATGTACATGGTACTATGCAAGCAATGTAACATGGACTCAACATGGTAGACAATTGGTGCAAACGCTGGAGGATAGAGCTCAACACAGAGAAATTTGGCTGGCTATGTATGGGAAAATAAAACTAGCACTTAGCGAGAGCACACTGCCCAGAATGACATCAGAAGCTGACCAATGCTTAAATTACTCACACAGTCCTTACTTCTCTTAAAATGTCCCAACTAAAGCATACAAAATGCGAAAATTACTTGACTTCATTCTTCACAATTTCTATAAAAATGAATCTGAAATCATTCTTTATAAAGTCTGTGTAAGACGTAGCGTTGATTACTAATCGTTCTTATTTTTCAACCTACGCCTATCCGATACACTTGCGGTGGAAGGAATATGACGCGATTTCACTCTCAAAATACTTAGGAACGACTCACTCATGCATACAGTCTAAGATGCAAAATCTTAGGACCAAAACCCCTTCGGAAAAGAAAGCTTAGGTCCAATTTGGTTCTCTATTTCAGACTCCTCAAAAATCTTACTTATTCCACATGTAATATAGCTCTTGCCCAAGAGACACATGAATACGACCTTTAAGACAAAGTATACGCGACCAAAGTTGAGAAATACAGATCAAAAACTCAGGAAAACTTCTTTCTCATCAAGTATGCATTATTATGGAACAGTCTTCTCTCTGAAATACATGTGGCGGATGAATTACACACGTTTGTAAGACTTATTGATCACGCTCTCACTTGCACAGATCTAGCACAAAAGAACACATCTGCATTCCACTCAGACATTACAGGCTCTCTACATGTATAGACCAAATTGTCTCATTTTCCTACTTTATAGTTGTATTAGATACTTTTACCTCCCTAATTTTTTTACTTGAAGATGCAGGTAACTCACTGAGCCTATCGATACTCGGTCGCTAATGGACGCTTACTATTACCCTAAAAGGTCAAAAGAACCCCACAATCGACTGCCTACTACCAGTGGTCTTGCATCTATAGAACATGCTACCCACCAACCGGTTACGATAGATCAAAATGACATTAACATCAAGTTAGTGTGAGTGGCTTTTTGTCTATTCTTCATCAGCTTTTTACTCTCCTATACACTGTGCTGACCTGCCATTAATTTTATTTCACCACTGGTTACCTTATTTATAACTTACATATTTCTCTACTCTTCCTCCTACTTTGGTAAACAAATATCCTACAATATAAAGCCTATACTCTGATTGGCAAAATATAGTTTATACTATAGTCAAATAAAGCATTGCATCGATGCCTTATCCATAGTCCATCATTTGTAACTGACTGATAAACTTGTAAAATGGTACTTATAGAAATAGTGTTTTCTAACAGGATGTAAAACACAGAGCATTGTGTGAGGCATGATATATATCCAAACATAAACTTAAATGAACCAAACATCACAAAAAGAGGTAGGGTGGAGTTACTGACCAGCAAGCAATGATGGTGAAGGCGATAACTTCAATCCACTCATGCTCGTGAGGCAGAACATTTTGTTTGTATCAGGCTATTTATGTTTGAGAACAAGTCAATCAATCTGTGATATTGAGGTTGTTCTCCTACGCTCACCATTCAGATTTATGTTTTCATTTTTATGCTGGACTAGTTATTCTACTTAGACGACCTATCACTTTCTAACTTAGGCTTTTACATTAAGACTGTTTGGCAGGCATCGAATTGAAAAAGAGTCGGACAATAAATTACATAGTTATTAGTTTTCTTAACAATGTACTTTCTATATGCACTTTCTGTTTTAATAAACAGCCTTCCTTATTCGAGCCCTGACTTCCCGTCCTTCATTTGAACTTACTCCACCTTGGTAAATATCACAACTCATTATTGCATTCTCTCGTATGGAGCCTCTGATCACATTTCACTCTGGCTACAAGAGCTAATATGAATTTGATCCAATAATTTATCATACCTCTGTTTGTTCCACTACCACATGTTATGTATTGTTTATTGTTCATATCCGAGTGACTTGATGCTCCTCGGTTCCTCTTTTTTTTCAGAATCTTGCTCTGAGGGCACAGCTATGAAACTTATAAAATCTGAAACAAACTAGACGTACGTGTTTTCTCAAGGCCATGGTTCTCAACAAGCGCTCCACACGTCTACTTTATGACAACTATAAACCTGAAAAATTGGATTGCATAAATACTTAGCACGACCGAAATCTTAATACAACTATGCCGAGATTGGATCTGGTATGTAACGTGGACGCGATGTTACTTTGCAAAATATTTTGAAAACTACTCAGTATCTCTGAAAGAATGAACCGGTATTCACTTTCATAGACTATATTTCTTTAACATACATACTGTGAAACAATAAATGTTGTAATTTGTAGATCATGCCTGTAAGAGCGCCCTGTACCCGCCCTTTTAGAAATATATCATATTATTACTCCTCGTGAAGGGGCATAGGCTGCCGACCAGCACTCTCCATCCATTTGAAGGCTAAACTAATTTGTCAATGTAAATACATCATATTTTTGTTTGAATCAAGTGCGTGGTACTCTTAAGACTGATATTTATTCACCTATCAGACGAGTAACATCAGAAAGACTCAAGTGTGTAATTAAAACAGATGTTTTCATTATTCAATGTAGAGAAATAGATTTAATGCTTAGATAAATAATAAAGTGAATGACTATTCTAGTCATAGTGTCGCCGTTCTAATAGAAGACTATCGGATAACCTTTAACCACCCAACTTCGACCGTTACACGAAAAATTTGTTTCACTCGTCGGTTTTGACTTTATAATGAGAGGCAGAAGTGGTCTCTTGGACGTACTAAACTGTCTTTTTGATCGCATACTATTCATAATCCTTAGTATATACTTAGGCGCATTTCATTCCTCGATTACATTCGTCAGCGGCGTTGCCGGATCGGAACTACTGACCCAATTGTTTATACTGAAATGCTGCTTACCAGTACTCAGTAGTCCAATTTTAAACACTGCTGTATAATCTGCAGCAGATGAAATATCGTCATTGTGTGCATGTGGGGTGGGCTTGAAACTGTTGTGAATAAATTTTCACATTCCGTAATTGTTCGTTCCTTTCTGCATTTGGTAGTTAATACAAACGTTGTGGAAATATTGTTCATCAACTCGAATATTGATAATCAACGTAACAAATGTGACATGACTCGTATACTGCGTATTCAAATTTGCTGGATACTTGTTACAAATCAAAATTATAGAAGCATATCACTATTATAGAACTTCTACTTGGTCAATTTAAAGTATTTATAAATCGTAGTGATTTTTACATAAACTCAGGATATCGTTTTCGGAAATAGTTTTCAAGTACGTAAAAAAACTATTCTTGTCCAAAATTAAAATAATAAATTATTGATTCACATATCTTCAGATTGATTAATGAAGGGAAGGAGGAATAATTATCTTAAATGCCATGATTTTAGAGCGCTCATCCCTTTTCGAAGAAGTCAGACGAATTCGCCAAATAAATTTTCTCCGTAAATTAGTCCCTAAGATGCTATTATCTTGTCCTAATAAATTCTGTGTTACAAGCGCTATTTCACGACATACGCCGTTAAGTGAGGAAGTTTGTGAGTGACCCATTCTTGGTAAAGTTGACTTACAAGTTGGTGGATTTAGGCGATTTTATTTATCTTGCAAAATATGCAAGGAGTGCATCGTATAAGCTATTTGTAAAAATTAGCATAACGTTGAAATGCATGAATTAAGCGACTCCAATAATTTTCGTCTAGTAAGGACAAATGGAACATGAGCGTCTTGGCTCACTGGCCAAGAGCAGGCGATACCCGGCATGTCGTTGTTCCGTAACGATAGAAGAAGAGGAATGGTAGTGGAGCAGCCATGTGCAAACTATCTGGTTTGATAGCACATCAAGTGTGTCCAATAGTTTATCATTCCACTCTAATCTATGTGGTGCTAATTGAAACTGTCTAACACCTAGAGATGTTTAGTCGAGGTCATCAAAAAAACATCACTGCAGAAACTGAGTATGACAATTGTATGCTAGTGTGATCATCCTGTATTCAATAAGCCGAATACGGAGTTTTTCAACTGTTGTTTCCTAATGGCCTAACTTATGGCAACGGTCAAGCTATCAGCCAGAAGCACTTCTCTTAATAACACAAAAGGTTGCCAAGTCCTTGATATACGATGGACTAAGCGGATTCTTGTTATCCATAAGCTTATTTTCACAACGACAGAATGGTTTCAGCGATGGTTACTACTATATAACCAACATTTTGACTGCGGCGAACAGATGGACAACAATCCTTTATCTCAAAGGATGGGTTGACATCAAATATCTCGACTTCTATAAAGCTTTTGATAGGGTCAATCATATATGCCTTATCATTAATTTCAAACTTTTAGGAATCAAGTCACCATTAGTAGATGAACTTAATATCTAAACAATCGACTATTTAGTCAGTGTAAACCACTTTTTCTCAGGCTACAACATTTCTCAGCGGGATCTCCTAGGGGCCAGTAAAATGAACCTCTTCTGTTCTGACAATATGAAACCTTTGAAGAAAGTTTGCAACCGAGATTATAAGCTAGAAATTCAGGAGGATATAACTCAACCGCAAAGTTAGGCAGATAACAGAGGACTTATTTGAACTCTAAAATGTAGAGTAGTCTATCTGAGATATGTTAAAAACTCCACATACAACCCAGGTTAGTCCGTGTGGGAGGTATTCCGTGTAGGAGAAGGTCTACGAGTGTTGATACCTTATTAGATAATGTCTCACGCCAACTACGATAAAAATGCCTTTCGAGTGAACCTTGCATTGGTAACGTCGAGGCTCATTTTACACCTAATTTTTAACAGTTTCATTCGACTATGTTTGAGTGTGGAAATGCATTGCTTCTTACATCAATCTAAAACGAGAACTATACACTGGGACAAATCCTACGGCAAGCCAAGGAATCATTTCGCGAACTCAAATTTAGGCCATACGAGGGACACCCGAAATCATTAGATCTTTAGTCACTGGAAAATAGACGACTCACAGGTGACCTCTTAGTGAGTTTTAGCACCTTAAACACTTCCTGCAACCACATCAAACACATACTTAAGCTGAGTCCCAACTCAAAACTTAGGTGTACCACCCATAAATTAGAGACGCAACATAGCAGAACGAACTGTGGAACAACTTTTACTTTTCAAGAGTAGTCGAATTCTAAAACTTGCTGCCGGCTGAGGTGATCTTCTAGTAGTCCTTTTAAAGAGTGAACATGACATATCCTAAAGGACAGTAGACATTATTTCACTATGATTTACTAACATTTATCTTTCTGTCGTCACACATACTTTGGTTCTTACTTGAAAGCGTCGGTGATCCACTGCTACCAGATACGAGGACTCATAAGTGAAAGCTTCTTCAATTCCATCCAGAACAATTTGAAAAATTTGAAAGTTTTATAGTTTTATAAATAGCCATTGAGAGGATTCTTGCCTATCAATATCAAAAAATTATTCCTTTAGTTTTAATGCAGGTTTCAGAGACCATCTGGGTTTTGCCTTTTTGGACTACAGTTTTCAGCTTGAACTATTGTTTTTACACATTGAGAGCTTACCTTAATTAAGGTCGTGACAATTTCAACACCAATGGTTTCGTCGCCAGCCGACTTAACACCCGACTTACCAGTTGCTAAAAAGGCAATGGAATCACCTTGGGTCGAGAAATACAGACCCATTGATTTAAAAGATATCGTGGGTAATGAAAATACCATCTGTCGTTTATCCGTTTTTGCTCGAGACGGCAACTTACCGAACATCATAATAGCTGTAACCTGTTTTTTATTTATAATTAACCTTTCTTTAGGGTCCTCCAGGTTGTGGAAAAACCACTAGTATTTTATGCTTGGCCCGCACTCTTCTAAAGGGCGCTTATAAAGAAGCGGTTCTTGAGTTAAATGCATCGAACGAAAGGGGTATCGAAGTAGTAAGGACTAAAATCAAGATGTTCGCTCAAAAAAAGGTCAGTCTTCCTGAAGGAAGGCAAAAAATAATCATCCTCGATGAAGCCGACAGGTTAGTCGTTCACTCTATACAAGATTGTTGGCAATGAAGCTTTAGTCCCATAGTATTGTTGAAGATTACCTAAATCCTTTGTGCTTTTTTTGTTACGTTTGTTAATTTTTCCATATTTAATAGTAATACAGATCCATCGGATAGCACTTTCTTACCGACTAAAAATTTTTCTGAGCTTTGGTCGACTGCCGCCACTCATAGGGTGTTAATTTGTCACTCACATTGTATACTGGTCAGGATAAACCAAGTTAATTCCTTGCGACTTATCAACATTAGTCTTACCAAACTTAAAGTAATCGGTCAATACTTCTTATCTTTTATTTTCTTGGTTGCGAAAACTCAACCAGTAGTTGGCAGAAAAGAATGGCATTCCTTAATATTTTTTCGAATAACACCAAAATTCATCATTAAGAAATATAACATAAGCTATAATCCTAGTTTAGACATACGTTTTGGTATTCAAGACCACTGCTCATAACCAACCTCCGTCTTCACTTTCTATTTTCCCTTCTACACCGACTTTCACGCTAAATTTCTTTTGACTTCCTCCTCAGGTGTCACCATATCCAACGATTCTAGTGCGCGAAACACTCCTGGGTCTGCTGAAACCTCGCTCCAAACTACACATTGGAGCCGTCAACGTACGCACCCTATGCCCAATCGACCAACAGGCTTCCTTGGTTAGAATCCTAGGACCTCGTAACGTTGATGTATGCTGTGTCTCCGAAACACATACAGGATCCTAGTGTGCTCAGTTACTTAACCTCACCTCACCAAAACGGAGGACCGACGAGATACACCCTCCGTGTATCTGGTGACCCGACGGCCAGTTCTCATGGACTGGCAGGTGTAGGTATAGTACTAAGCATGAAGGCGGAACAAGCACTGTCAGAGTGTAGTTTTAGGGTTAACAGGATTTTAATTGCACTTCGCTCTTACAAATTCTCCTCATTAGCGTTAAATTATTATTACCTCTACGTATGCTTCTCTTATTTTGTACGTAAGCATGACTGAAGGTGCTCAACAGGCACTTCGACGGATCATGGAGTTATACTCTCGAACAACTCGTTTTGCATTGGCTTGTAATGATTCTTCGAAGCTCATCGAACCAATACAATCAAGATGTGCTGTTTTACGTTATGCTCGTTTAACATCTGCACAAGTGATGGCCAGATTGCTAGAAGTTTCGCGTATCGAAGGTGTTTCGTATACAGAAGAAGGTTTGGAAGCCATTGTGTTCACTGCAGACGGTGACATGCGACAGGTAAAGTTTGTCTTGTTTCTTATAACTTTTAATTGAGGAATATGAAATATCCTATAATAAATTTGAAGAAAGTAAAAATGGAGATTTCAGTTAAATGATATAAATCCACGGACCACATCTGCTTACAACCTAGAAACAATAGAATTAACCATTAAAGAGCAAAGCAAGCATGGATATTGTAAATCAGCAAGGTGTTAATTAGATTTTGGTTCAACATCCAGATGTTGTTTGATGGTAGGCCAATAATATAAGTATTCTAGAATAAATCTGACAGGTACATGGAAATAGAATTTAAAAAAATAGAAAATTTGTGTCATAGTTTATATCATAATTGAAAAGATTGGGTTGCTGGGTAAAGCTCAAATAATAAATATGAAATATAAAACTATAATAAATGCTCTGGAGGTCATAATAATAATAATTAATAAAGAACTTCAAATCTATTACGCTTAGTTGAAGCCATTGTTGTGCAAAAATTTAAACCAAAATTATGTTTCCGAAAAGTTGGTTACCAACCATGTTTTGGTGACCTCATTCTCATGGGTTCGTTTCATACATGTATCCATTTTTAAAAGATGATTAGGTTTTGTAGTACTTGAAGTTTCTTTCAGACCTCTACTCCGTCAACTAGTATGGCAGCAACTAACTGATAAAAAACAACTCTAAGTTCGGAGTTAGTACAACATTCCCCAAAGATTTTTGTAAAGCGGTCATTTCAGGGTCCTTGGCTATTATTTGTTGGTGTGGCACTTGGATCGAAAGCCCAATTTAATTAGACTTCTCAATGCCAAGTAATCTTGTGATATAAAATGGGTTACTGTCACCAAATGTTTTTTTAGCTTGTCAGTAGTGTTCACTACATCTTATGGTTGTTGTGCTTCTCAAAATAAAACTCGTCGATAATATTCATTATAACTCGGATCCGTTGTTGTAAAAAGACCCCTGAGAATACAAACAGTGTTTATCAGTAATTTTTTAAAATGGAAATTAATTTACTTAATTGCATTTTGGCACCATTCAGATTGTTTAGTGGCTTTACTCCTGCATTTAATATGTTAGGTTTCTTTGAGATCAGGAATGCACAATGCTAGATCTAGAACTAGAATGAATTGTTTATTCCCTCCTACCTTGCCTTGATTTACCAACTGATGCGAAAAATGAATTATATTTAAGCTGTGATTTCTCTGTGATCTGAAATATTTTAATGAAAGTGAAATTCAGTTACTATTGAAACCCATAATTTTTCCTCGTTATCACTAAGTGACCACTTCTTAAATTGTGGGCTAGTTGATTAACATTGGTATAAATTACCAAGACAATAAGATAACGTTTAACTTGATGATATGCTTGCATGACTTTACTAAGGTTTCTTCTTTGCTAAACTTTTTAAACGGTTATGATAGGCTCTAAATAATCTCCAATCAACTTATGAAGGCTTTGGGATGGTCAGTAGCGATAACGTCTTTAAAGTGAGTACTGTTTGTATTTTTCTGTTGGTATAACGTTTACTGTTTACAATATGAATTTCTTAAGGAATCGCATGAATTGTCTGTGTAATCGAGCCATTAAATGTTAACCAGTGTACCTTTCACTTAGCATACACAAATGTCATGGTTCTATTTGATGAAGACGCTCGAAAAATTCTGAGTCTACTGACCATCTTATGTAACATAAATAATATTCTTGAGATACGTTTCTCCTCTAAATGCAACATTTTGCTTCAGGATGGAACTAATGATAGAGTGAAGTAGTTGAGTGCATTGATCACCCCAATTATTTTGGAAGTCTCATCAGCCCTGGTGGGATGGTGTCTAACAAAATCTTGTCATGAATCCATAAAACTCTTTTAGTGTCTGCCAACTGGGAGACGAGTTTACTGCGCAGCAGTTCATCTCATTATACTTTATGGCTGTGTAACCGAATCTTGAAAAATAGAGGATCGTCGTAAGTCACTATTATTCAATCATAAGTGTTCTTATATTTTGGGACCGTCCAGTTAGCAACTCTGAGGTTAGACTCAGAGTAGTAGGTAAATATGGTGAATAAATTGACAAGGTCAGTCAGTCAGCTACAACGTAGGACCAGGCACATATATGCATCGGTCCATGTTGACAAGGTAGTAAATCTTCATTGACTTAGATGGTTAGGGAATGTATTACATGGTCACTGACCGTTGCACTGAGGTATGTGGAAACTACCTACCTGCCTGTTGTTTATCTGGTTATCGTAACCGATAGTCAGAAACTTTGAGTGACGTGGCTCAAAATCGTTCACTATGGCGTAGGTAAGTTCATTATTTGTCTCCCCTTAGACACAAGTTCCTAAATCAGTGCCTGATTATTTCTATTACCGCTAATGCTCTTTATGGGGGGTTTTCTTGACAAGTTCATCTCGCTGTGCTAATGGGGTATGACAACCTGAATTGATGTGCACATGTGCCAGGTTATAGGTTTCATATGAGTGACTAAATGAATGGATTTCACATATTTGTGCTCTCGTGAAGATGTATGCTCGGATCCTCCATATATATATATATATATATATATATATATATATATATATATATATATATATATATATATATATATATATATATATATATATATATATAAGCCAACGCACAACACGATACAATCAGCTTAATCACATCGGAGTGCTTTAATATTCGCTGTTATCTTAAGCAAAAGACTCTTTGAATAGGATTAAATTACGATAAAATTAACACTCCAGAAATGAAAATAAGTTGACCTTCTTTGGATTTTAACAAGTTTAATAAGAAACCTAAGTGAACCTGTTACTTAAAAATAAATGGCTTTTGAACAGTCGAACCATGAAGCGGAAGTTATGATACAATCTGTGAAAGCTTCAACAGCCAGAGTCAAATAAAACGTCTTTAGGAACTCAGAAAAGATTATCTGAAGTAATAATTTGCATTGGTGAGGAAATCATTAACTGTTCATTTTTCTCATTTAAATCCATAGAGATATAACGGAACTTATACACAGATAATTAGTTACAATTGTAATGTAACTCACTAGATTCTTGTACCGCAGCTCCATATAGTATATTTAGTATAAGCTGGAAACACTATACACTTCCCTAAGTTAAAGTAGAGTTTCAAAATGGCAAGTGTTTGAACTGCGAAACAAAGTAGTTCTGAATATTTAATGTACCAGTTTGCACTAAATTTCATAATTGACCTACATTATAAGACATGCTCATTCAGTGCGATTTATTAAAAATGGAAATAGATATCACAGTAACTTAATCACTTTCAATCAGTTAATCGGTCTCTCGAAAGTAGAATTGTTCATTTGGTCTTTACCAAGCGTATCATTTCATTAGGCTTCAAATTTGTTTCCACTTCAAATTGGCAACAAATTTCAATAATTTAAGTTATCTGTTTGTCTATACGCGAATTGAATTTGCCTATTTGTGAAATAACTGAAAAATTATTGTTATCAAAATCGCATTTTTTTTCCATATAAACTTGCATGTGAATACTCATTTAGAATAAACATTGATCTGAATAATTTTTACACTCAAGTCTTTCAGACTATTAGCCCCCAAGTGCCCTGGTACGGCCGAGAGTGGGGAGAGTCCGCTCTCCCTCTCGAAATACTCTCACACGACCACGCGTATATAGCCTCTGCCAGGGAAGTCCTACTCACTGCCTTCTCGTGGCGGGGGTGTTGTTTACGAAAATGAGAGGACGAAAAGCGAATGTCCGGCGCTTTAACCAGATTCCAAACCAATGGTGCACATGGGCTCCAGTATCCTGCGGGAACAAATGGCGAATGAACCAATTGTTGGTCACCGGCTTCCATGGGACTGCATCTCCTTACGATGCTCCACTGTCTCGTGGATCAGACCTTCAGGTCGAAGGCTCGGGGTGTGGCCCCCTAAGAAAACCACCTGCTTCGGTTTGGGCACCCGGGCAGTATCACAGCCCTCACACATATCGAATGAGATTTGTGCGGCGCATATGTATTTGGTACCTCTTTGTACCATTATCTATGTGTCGAAATAAATAAATATGATAATCTAAGGCTGAACCGTAATGCTGAAATTTATGTATTTTTATACTGTAGGACAATAATTTATCTGGTAGTTTTAATTTTTCATCACAACATTTATTAGTCAGCCAAATTCTCGCTCCTATTAGTGTAAACTATAATTTACCAACTCCTGTCAGCCTCTCGCGACCAAAGTTTCCCTCCTAAAAAACCTTACTACTGTACTACCAAATCTTTTGCTTCCAGGAACATGCATTAGCATTCAATTAACATGATGCTTTATCCATCGTGTTCATGAATGTTTACAGTTACAGACACAAAAAAGTAAACGAGTTTTTAATCATTAAAATCTTTTACGTCCTAAAATATTTCTTAAGTTATACTACATTCCTTACTTGTATGTTAAGAAATCATGCGCTTGACTATTCAGAAATGAGGTTATTGGGAACACAACTATACTTAATAACATTAATTAAACACAATTCACCTGTCTTACCAAATAGCAAAACAATCAAATAGAGAAATCCAATCCTCTTCCTTTTATGAAGTAATTCACATCAACTACCATAAGTGTGGAATCGAGTGAGGTATGAGATTTCTTTCTATTCAGAAATTCATACCAACTAGTAAATACTCGATATTGTATTCATTAATGTCATAAGAATCTATAAGCTTATTAAAATCATTATTTTGTGGTAATAATTATTGAATTCATCTTAATCTTCATATGGCAGGTTTGTGATGAACCCCACCCAATGCTTATTAAACAGTTGATTGATCATTGTTCTAAGGGTGAATTGTCAGCTGCTCACAAGATCTTACGTCATTTATGGACTTTGGGATATTCAGCTGAAGATATTATCACCATCACTTTTCGAGTAATAAAGAATCATCCAATGGAAGAGTATCTCAAATTGGGATTTATAAAAGTAAATTATTATAGTCTTTCCGCTTTTTCATAGTGAAGTGGGATCAAACATTTTCCTATCAAGTGCACAATTTTGTAAACGTTACATGTTTATTTTCTTGCTTTGTGCATTTCTTCATAAAGTACAATAGTAATACCAATCAAACTAGAAAACAAAACCTTTTTTGTTCGTAGATTTCGTGACTAAAGTATAATATGACTTTTCCAGAAAACAGGACGTTTTTTTATTATTTCATTCCAATCGCTGTGTATTTAGAATGGTATGTATTTATAAAGAAGGGTAGTAAATTCACTAATCGACAGAAAATCCGAAATTTGTTGTGGGAAAAATCAAGATGATATGAATTTGTAAAGTTTTGATGAAGTAACATGTAACCTCTTGTCATCGATAGATTGTGAAGTGTGAGTAAATGTAGTAGCTGCAGTCTTCTCATCCAGCACGCTAATACTGAGGAGCGAATAACAAAGAGAAACTTGAACAGACAACTCAGTAATAACATGGAATCTCTGTGTGTTTAATGGTACAAAGAGACAACAGTGATTGGTGTACGAACGTGCATTCGATAATATTTGGTGTTATAAACTAAAATGATGAAAAGTTGAGCTTTGGATGAAAATACATAAATCGTTGTCAACTTTCCGTCTGCGATGTGTCAGATGATTGTAGATAATGAAGCATCAAAATGTATGATTTTATTCTGGGCAATTTCAATGTCGTAGCTTCTTCTACAGCTTGTTTACATTTAAAGTTAAAGTACAGTATTGGAACATACATTTGCCAAGTTAGGTTTTTTGATAAACTATGATCTTCCGTAATTATTTGTTTAAACTTATTGTCATTTGCTTTTTTACAGGAAGTTGGCCTTACTCATTTACGAATTTCCGAAGGACTAGGTACGTACCTACAATTAGCTGGTCTCCTTGCTCGCCTTTGTAAAATAGTGTTACCAAAATAAAAAATTTGTTTTTATTAATATACCATTTCCGAATGTTTATTTTGTACAGCTAGTGACTACCTTGATGTGTTTGTATTAAACTCTTCTCATGTTTTAGGTTTTTATTTTTGTATTACGACAAAGTTAAACTAAAATGTATAAATATAACAATCTGGCTAAGTTCATTTTATCGTCTAATAATTGTTGCTAAAAATAAGATAACTAAATGATACCCATCTATGTTTTTTCTCACTTAATGTGATGATACTGGATTACATGTGTTTTTTTACAAATTAAGTTGATTAATAGGGTGTGCACAGAAATGTTAGTAAATATATCCTTTAGTTAAATCGCACATTTAAATAGAGCAATAACAAGAATATTTGCAAAATACAATGAATTTATTGTATTTCGTTGTTAATAGTTTTAGTTATTTCCAATTTGTAAGATAATGTTAAATTTATTTCTTAATAAGTTGTATGTAATGTGAATGAAAAACAGAACTAAAGTTTCGAAAAATTCTTTCTATAATTACTTGAAGTACGAGTTTTAGAATGTTAAGATAAAGTTATTAGTCAAATTAGCAACATTTTTTAGAAGTTTGGAAAGGAAAAGTGAACGTGTAAGATCAACTCACTAATTTATGATTACGTTTGCTTGAAAAGAAGAAAATAAAATGTTACCGAGCCATTTGACCGATCTTGGATTCCGTAAGGATCGGTTGTGCACAGACCAAATTGTGACACTACGGATCATCGTCGAACAATCAGTTGAGTGGAACTCATCACTGTACATCAACGTCATTGATTATGAAAAAGCATTTAACAGTGTAGACAGGAGGACGTTATGGAAACGTCTTCGACACTACGGAGTTCCTGAGAAGATTGTCAACATTATCCGGAACTCATACGACGGACTACAGTGCAAGGTCGTGGATGGAGGACAGCTGACAGATGCATTCCAAGTAAGGACCGGAGTCATACAAGACTGTCTACCTTCTCCCTTCCTCTTCTGGTGGTCGACTGGATTATGAATACCTCGACATCTGAGGGAAAACACGACATAAAACGGACAGTTGAGGACCAATTAGACGATTCGAACTTCGCAGATGACCTAGCCCTCCTATCGCATACACATGAACAAATGTAGATAAAGACAGCCAATGTAGCAGCAGTCTCTGCATTAGTAAGCCTCAGCATACACAAGGGGAAAACCAAGGTCCTCAAATTCAAAGCGGAGAACAACAATCCAATCACTCTTGATGGCGAAACTCTAGAAGATGTAGTATCCTTCACATACCTGAGAAGCATCATCGATGAACAAGGAGGTTCAGATGCAGACGCGAAGGCGAGAATCTGTCAAGCAAGGGCCGCATTCCTACAATTGAAGAACATATGGAACGCAAAACAACTTTCAACCAATATCAAAGTCAGAGTCTTCAATACGAACGTCAAGGTAGTTCTGCTGTACGGAACCGAAACTTGGAGAACTACAACAACCACCATCAAGAAGGCACAAGTATTTATAAATGGTTTTCTGCGCAAGATACTCAACATCCATTGACCAGATGTCATCAGCAACAGCCTTTTGTGGGAGAGAACAAACCAGCTTCCATCTGAAGAATAAATTAGAAAAGTCGGTGAACATGCATCACGAGGCAAGCTTTAACTTAGAATCCGGAAGGGAAGCGGAAAAGAGGACGGCCAAAGAGCACAATACGTCGGGAGATAGAAGTAGATATGAAAAGGATGAATAACAACTGGAAGGAGCCGGAAAGGATTGCCCAGGACAGGGTTGAATGGTGAATGCTGGTGAGCGGCCTATGCTCCTTCACGAGGAGTAACAGGCGTAAGTAAGCCATTTGAAGGTTAACTACTAGCTCTTTTTGAATACGAAGGCCAGCTTTATCATTTCTGTTCATTATGGCTTCTGCGAATGTTAGCAACGTCAAATTGGATTGTTTATTGGTAAATTTGAATGAGTCTATCGGACCCGTATTATTCCCCGTGACTAGCAGGTGGGGTTCTATTGAACCTTATCAATAAGCTCCAACTTGAATGTGTGGATTTCTTGGGATATGTTCATTACAACAGATAGACACCTGTCTTTTTGTTTCTCTGACGTACATGTAAATTGATATATGCATTTAGAAGTAACATCGGATATACACTTTTGTTTGTGTTAACAAGCACAGTGTTTGTATATTCGTATAAAGTTTGCAGGTAACATGATTTCTAGGGTTGCTTTTGGTTTCTGATTAGTTTCACTCATTTGATAAGTTTTGAATGACAGTTGAATCAAAAATTCTTTTCAGGTTTGCCTTCTTTCGTTTTATTTCTGTATTTATTACTATACTTATAATTGAGTGCGGATAAACATTTTCTTGCAGATCGTTTCTTATTATAGTATGTTCCTTTGGTCAACTTAACTTTCTGGCTCTTCGGTTGAGCGTTTTCACCGACTCATATTTATAGCCAATAGGGCGAAAGCTTGTTTGTCCACTCCAGGTTTCCTTACGATGTATATACCTCTGACAGGTCCTATCCTCTCTTCTGGGAGTATTTAAGTCGAGAAAGTAGAACGTGTCATTTTCTTCATGTTTCATTATGAATTTAGTATATGGATTAACCTTATTAAAAGATCTAAGTAGTTTGTTTGCATGATATACGTCATTACACGAAACAAAAATATCAGCATACCTCACATCAAGTGCAGTCACGTTAATTACAAGTAATGGTTTTATTCTTTCTAAATTTCAAACAAATTTGTCAACAAGTACTGTCCATCACGTTAATTACAAGTAATGGTTTTATTCTTTCTAAATTTCAAACAAATTTGTCAACAAGTACTGTCCATCACCACGTAATCTGCTTAATAATTTGTTAAACTGGGATTGAAAATTATTAGTACATCCTCATTAAGAATTTGAAGTGTGAGTACTGTCTAACGGTGTCGGTTGTTCCTTCTAAAAGAACATTGGTATAAAATTGAAACCGTCAGTCTATACGTTGTATTTATTTCGTCCATCACTTGTGCAAATTCGAAAGTGTCCCTGGCATTTTATATGGGTATTTCGTTACGAATTCATTCTAGTTTGTTAGCTAACCATAGGGCTAGATTGTAGCAACGAAAACTCATCACTGATTTGTTGGCCTCATTCGGTTATTGGATTTACGTGATTCAACTTGTCGATGCATGAGTAGTAAACGTGACCCGCGTTGTTTCAGCTGACTGTATACCGCAACATCATTTATTTTGGTTTTATTTCTCTAAATAATTTGGGTTTTTACTTCTTGATAATGCAGTCCTGCCCTTGTTCGAACCCTCTTCTTTGAATTTGTTTGGATATGGTATGCTTTTTTGTATAGAGTCAGATTTATTCATCAATACCACCACAGAACCCTTATCAAGAAGTAAAAAAACCAAATTGTTTAGAGAAATAAAACCAAAATAAATGATGTTGCGGAATGACAATTCAGACGCCCCACAATCGTAGTATTTCTTGACCTTAAGACGGCATTCGACTCTGTTGATCGTGAGGTTCTATGGCAGTGTTTGTCACCGAAAGGAGTACCAAAGAAGTACATTAACCTTACAAAGGCTCTCTACTCGAGTGAGAGCTTATGGCGAACTGTCATCAGATTTGATTACCTCATGTGGTGTTCGTCAGGGCTGCTCATCTAAATTTCCAGGGATTAAACTTCTGCCAGGAGATTCACTTTCTGACTCGGAATATACCGATGACATAGTTCTATTTGGTGAAGACGCTGACAAAATGCAGAGTCTTCTTACCACTCTAAGCAACAATGCAAGCATGTTCGGGATGCGATTCTCCCGTTTGAAATGCAAAATGTTGCCTCAGGATTGGGTTGCATCAACACCCGAACTAATGATAGGGAGTGAAGCAGTTGGGCGTGTCGACCGTTTTACTTATCTTGGAAGTCTCATCAGCCCTTGTGGTCTGGTGTAAGACGAAATCTCAGTACGAATACAGAAGGCTCGACTAGCTTCTACCAACTTGCGTCATTTATGGCGTAGGCGAGATATCCGTCCGCCAACCAAAGGACGGGTTTACTGTGCAGCAGTTCGTTCCGTCCTACTTTATGGCAGTGAAACATGGCCGGTAGGAGTAGAGCATATTTGTAGGTTACTAGTATTCGATCATAGGTGTCTTCAAAACATTGCTCGTATATGCTGGGACCATCGAGTAAATAACGTAGTTGTTAGGAAACGGGTACAAGGTAAGGATGGCAAATCAATTGATGAAGTTTCACTACTTCATCAATTGAGATGGCTGGGACACGTGTTACGTATGCCCAACGACCGACTGCCTCGACGTGCGATGTTCAGTGGTATAGGAGTAGGTTGGAAGAAAGCTAGGGGCGGCCAGACCAAAACATGGTACAAGTTCATGAAGTCACTGACAATTGGATTGAATCATGTTGGTAGGTGTAGACTACCTGGTTGGGGACCGCGAAATGATAGTGACCGATGGTTAGAGACTCTGAATGACATGGCTCAAAATCGTTTGCAATGGCGCAGGTGCATCCACTCTTTGTGTTCTCCTAAACTTTAATCTCTTGATTCCTCCTTGTCTCTTTTTTCTCTTCCCAAATTTATTTCACTGTATTATACTCTTTAAATAACATCTCCAAACCCTAATCTTTCCGATTACTGCTTATACTCATACTACCACTACGGGATTTGAATCGACAACTGCATCTCTGTGCTAATGTGGTATGGCAACTCGAACTGATGTACGTACGTACGAAGTTCTACGTTGTTACTGACTGAATGACAATTACCTTTTCTCATGATTTTGGATTAAACGGCTAGCTTATTGTTGGTACGAGTATACTGTAACTGACAATCATGAAAGGAATATATCAAATTATAAACGTTAGCACTCTATTCAAAAGTTTTAAGTCTTACGGATTTTTCGTTGCCTGATGACTTGTCTTATTCATTGGATGGAATTTAATACATCTTGTCTATATCACAATAAATGAATATTAAACTGTTCCAACAATATTTCATCCAAGTATACTCATCAAGTTAGAGGATTGGAGTTTCGAGTGACATTATTTCTATGACCAATTTCTTCTACATGCTAAAGAAGCTCAGTGATGCACTGTAGCATATTGGACTCACTTGATTTCTAAAGGCAAAATCTGATGTTCCAATAAATCAACTATTAACTCAGAATTAGTTACAGTAATTTTAGTCTCAAAATTC